GATGATTTTGATAAGTAGCTGAGTGACCCAAGTTCCTGGAGATGAGTGATAAGGTCTCCTTAAAATGTCAAGAAACAACAACCAGTGATGGCTATTAGCAACCTTGGAGTCCCAGTCTTTGATCCAGACTCAGGGTATGTCTACAGTGCAGTCAAAGGTGTGATTGCAGCTCAGGTAGGCATACCTGTACTACCTTTAACCTAGCTAGCACAACTCAATAGCAAAGCCTCAATGCAGGCTAGCAACATAATGTAATCAAGATCCCAGGTGGGCTTGTACAGCCCAGGCCCCTGCATCTTTACTATTTTTAGCCATGCCAGCTAGATAAAGGGTGTAATATGTAGACTGCTAGACGGCATTTTTATCACTGTCATCTACCTCAGCAGTCTGGATAACTCATTGGTAAAGACACAAAGAAGCTCACCTACACAAATGCTCTCTGTGTTGCTAGCATCAGTGTTGGACCAGTGGTGGAGGGACTCCCTAAAATGACCTGTTTAGTTAGGGCCAGGGAGTCTGATTCTCTCTCTACTGTATTTTCTTTGGTCCAGGCTTTGGGCTTGCTGTGTCCTCCCTTTCCCACAGTGAAAATTTGGACATTTGGTGGAATTCAGTCAAACACCCTTCTGCATGTGGTAGAATGTTACTCTGTTATGACAGCAATGCTGATTTGTTCACCTACCTTATCAGAAAGAGGAGAAATGAAAGTAGTGAAGAGATTTCAGTTGACTATTTGTCATGACAGTGTAATCTGGCTACGGATTAGCCACACAAATCAGAATGATCCACTCGGAGGAAAGCCAAGCTCGAGTCCAAGTAGGCACTTTATTTGTGGTTGGAATGCTGACATCGATATAATGGAATATCACATATATATTGGAAATATACACATACATTCCCACTCAAGGTTGTTGGTTTTTATTTTATTTTGCATAAAAGGCCCCCCTGCATAGAGTGAGCATCTTTGGGAAATCACAGGAAGGGACAGTTATCACAACAACAGAGAGGCCAATCCTGCAGTCTTTGTACAGGCAAAATACCATTGTAGGATCAGCCCTGAAGGATCCAGGGAAGAAAGTGGAACTTGAGTGGTTTACAGAGATATAAAGGGATATTTTAAAGGCAGTCAGGGACAGTTGTTCTTAAAGGTAAGATGAGCAGTTATGGCTTTATGATGCAGCTTAGGTACGTCAGGAAAAAAGCTTCTAATCACACAGTCAATTGAGTAACAGAAACAGGCTTCCATAAGGAGATAGTGAGAATCACCAAGTCACAGCATAACAATCAATCACTGGAGTTTATTTTGGGGCATTAGCATCCTGCCACACAGTGTGCATGTGTAAATGAACTAGACTGTCTTTCCAGTCGGAGTGATTCGATGACAACATTAATATTCTGAACAGCTCCTTAATAAAAGATATGTCCCTTTGCTGCAGAAGGCAGGACCCCTGCAATGTTTATCTACTTCAGCAGGATGAATAAAGCATGTTCATTATAGTATAGTGTAGGTGGAGTTGTCATCTTTAAAAAGGGGGAAGAGGCTACGTTACAATTATATCAAGACTATGAAGGCAGAGAGAGGGCTGCTTTCTGGTATTAAATTCCCTAATGGAAATCAGGTTGAACTGGGACTTCCTTCCCATCCTGTTCCTTAAATTTCATAGTTTCTTAGACCACAACTGAGTCTGCAGAATACATCCTAAGCCAAAGCAATGGTTTCTGCTGGAACTATGCTTCCTCATCAACTCTTGTATGCCCGAAATTACAAATCTTTCCATAATGACTTAAAATGAGCCATCTTATGAGAAAAATATCCTAAGAACAGAAAGACCCTGAAATCGCCTTTGCTGTTGGTCCTCCTGGGTACCTGCTATTTTAGAACTTTATTTCTACAGCAACCAAAATGATTCTATTAAAAAAATAATTAGCAGTCGAGCTGGAGAAACAAGCAGCAGAAATAGACCACCCACAGAGCCTGTCCTCATGCAAAACAAAACAAAAGACCGTGGAGATTAAAAAAAAGAGCAATAGACGAGCAGAATAATCTTGCGCAAAACATTTTGCGAACATTTTCCATTAGATGCCAGTAATTCAAATCTGTACTTTAGTTTCTATAACCATTCCTGTCCCCTTACCTAGGTGACCATCCATCCTGGCCTTTTGAACATCCTGTATCTGGTGCTTACTGTCCCACAGCCCATCTCCGGTAAGCAACATTTGATCAGATAGTCTGTTTTCAGGTAAAGATCATGCGCTATAAGTCTAGGATTTTGTGCCATGAATAAAACATTGGGGATGAAGTAGGGGAAAAGCTGGTTTTTAAGGAGCAATTGCCTTTTATTTCCTAGAATTGCAGTTTGTCACCCTACCTTTATGATTAGTTAAAAAAAGTGGCACTGTAAATATATGATGTGTAACAGGACATATGAAGCTCACACGGGGTTATATTTTAAAATGGGAAGGGGATTCTAAAGGAGTCACCAGGAGTTTATGTAAGGGTAGAGTGAGAAATCCTTTAATGTAGCTTCTGTGGACATTTTGGGTATATACAGCCCTATTGAAGGGATTACTAGCTGTCAGGCAAGGCCAAGCTGTAGGAGACAGGTAGATGATGCCAGGTTTGGAGACTTGACTCCACAGCACACAAATTATCTATGTAACAGGCTGTAGTTTCAAAGAGGTTTAGCCAGTGAGTCATTGACGGGGGCAACTCCTGCTCAGATGGGGTTTTTTTTTTTTTTCTTCCCCCTCAGTTCTGTATAGGTTCTTATACTGCACCTGTGGCATCTGAGCACCTTCCAGTAGTGAGTTAAGTGAGAGAACAAATCACATGTGACAGATATTACTTATTGCTCTCATCCTTTCTGCAAAGGGAAAACAGCGTATGCAGTACAGTGTTTTGGTAAGGTTTGTTTTGGGGCTGTGTTTTTTTTGGTCAGTGATCTGGCAAGTCTGTCATATTTTCTTATAACAGTGTTGAAGAGTAATTGGTCCTATCTACACTAGCAGAGCTTTTCCCACACCGGTTCAAGGGGACTGGTTACCCCCTGCTATTGTCAGCAACAGATCAGCTTCCTAATGTAGACCCTAATGCCTCTGAGACCCAGTGGTCCAAAGGACAGTTCTAGGAATAAGAAACTCCTAAGTTCCAATCCAAAGTTCTGATACCAACTCCCAGTGGAAGCTTTGGGCAAGGTCAGAGCACGTATCTGCCACAGTTTCTGCAATGGTAAAGTGGGGACAATACCTGCCTAACAGGACTTTGGGAGGATTAATGCGTTTGACAAGTGCTTTGAACTTGTAAAGTTCTAAGTATTAAATAAATAGCAACTTGGCAACAGCATGTGAGTCTTTTCCATTGCAGAGTGGTTTAGAAGAGTAGCTAGAGCAGCCTCTGCAAACTCAACAACTTGGTCATTTTTATTTGCTTATTTAAAACTAAAGCAAAATGTCCAAGGTAACTGGTTCTCATTATAAACTACCAACCTTTCAAACCTGCAAAACTGATCATCCATTGGAGAGAAAGAAAACTAACAAAAGTTATATCACAAATTAGCTACTGTTATGAGATCTAAGCTGTGCTTCAGGCTGGTGTGACTTTATGGCTAAGGGGCTATACCAGTATCTAAGATCTCTGTTGAACGGAAGAAGCAATATTGACCAATAACAGTACTGGAGCTCATGGGTACAACTAATAAAAACAAAAATGTACAAAACCAAAAAACCCTTTAATATTTTAGATATAAAACAATTCTCATGTCTTACAAAAAATACTACAGGATCAAAAAGTTACTAGAAATAGGTATAAAAAAAGTAAAATGTAACCTTTAGCACAAATTAAATGTTACAAGTAACTGGCCAAATTAAAATAATGAAATAAAGAGTTCTTTTTTGTTTAAAAAATAAAGTGTCCAGATAACCTCACAATGCCTCTTTGCACCTCTGTGTTCCTGCATCATTTGGAAGCTGTAAACCATCCAAATAGCCCCATTTCAATTTGTTTAAGCAGATTAAAAATAATAAAGTCATGAGGTTGACCAGCTTTCCTATCCCCAAGAAGGCTCCATCTACACTAGTGAAAATAGAACCTCTAATTCACAACTAGCAGTAGCAACGGTGGATGCTGTAATGCAGCCCAACACCTGTCCTTTTTCCCCACCATCCTGGCCAACCCTGATCACTGGTAAAAAACTGAGTCCTGTCTACTCTGCGGCTTCTACTGTTGCTATCAGAGGCAGAGTTGCACCTGTAGTACATTACCAGTTTTGCCAACATTGGACACAGTCAGAGAGATGACCATTTAAAGGAAACTACAGTGATTCTTAACATGACTGATAACTTAATTTGCAACACTGGGCTTTCTAATGTTCAGTGGCATTCCAGTCTCACTTTTTCTCTCACACATATTGCTGGTGTTTCTCTAGGTGGAAGCTGCCCTTGACTGGAGCTTCCCAGCAGGTGCACCCATCAGATGGTAGAGTTCACAGAATACAGTGGCTTTCAGAACTGCAACGCAAGTTTGTTTGACCCTTTGGCTTCTTTCACCCCAGTTAACAATACTTTTACATAAGCCGGCTCTTTACATATATATATATATATATATATATATATATATACACACACACACACACATATAT